AGAGAACCTTCTGCAGCAACTCATGGGAGCCTCCCATGCCATCCTGTTGGCTCTTGCGAATCGGCGCACGCTCATCGACGCTAAACTGGCGCTACCTCATCGATGCTCGAAACGCTGATTCACGCTAACGCACTCTGACGACTCCATTACGAGGGTATACAAGGCTCCGATGATTTGATACCGACCCGAATATGCCATGTCTGGATTTGTTCCATACGGGGTCCCCAGAAATTCCCTGGCACCCGGTTTTCATCCTGAGTCGTGTTCTGTGGAGGGGCCCTGGGACACACACAAATAAATACACACACGTTACAGGATTCCCCATATTTGGGGGATCTTCGTCTTCCCCCCCACTCCCAATATTTTCGCATATTTTCCTGGGAATCGACGATTCATTGTCTCTGTGCTTTTTGCCCTCCTGATTATGACGGCCCCGGGGCCAGGCGAGGGCCCCCAGAGGCCGCAGACACCGAGAAGACTCCCGCCCAGACTCTCTCACGGCGCGGCCATGCCTCGGGGAGCAACCGCTTCGAGGAGATCCCTTCTCGGGGGGGCGCAAAGGTGGGGCATAGGGGCAGAGGTGGGGTTGAAGGAAAATCGCCCTGAACGGGCCCTCGGGGTAGTTCCCCAACCCCACCTTGGGACAACCCCCCCCTCAGCTGACCACCCCGACTCCATCTGTGTTTTTCTCAAAATGATCCGGGACGCGACCCGCTGGGAATGGAGGGCAACTCGGGGCCTTCGGCTTGGGCTGGGGTGGCTTAGTGGGTAGTGATCTACGTACCCCCGACTTTAGAGGCCTCCTAAGTGGGTCCGAGCAGATGGGGTCGGAGGATCGCGCCGCATCGCCGATGCATCGGCGATGCATCGGCGACGCTGGCCTCGAGAGACTCGGGTCCCACATCGAGCCGCATCGCCGATGCATCGCCGATGCGGCGCCATCCTTCCTCCGACCCCATCTACTCCGACCACATCCAGGAGGCCGCTGGAGGAGGTGGGGAGAAGGGGGGGAGGAGGAGGGAAAGGGAGAGATGACGAGAAGGAGGAGGAGGAGGAGGAGGAGGCGGAGGAGGAGGAGGGAGGAGGAGGAGGAAGGAGGAGAGGAGGAGGAGGAGGAGGAGAGGAGGAGGAGGAGGAGGGGGGAGGGAGGAGCGAGGAGGAGGAGGAGGAGGAGGAGGAGAGGAGGAGGAGGAGGAGGAGGAGGAGGAGGAGGAGGAGGAGGCGGAGGAGGAGGGGAGGAGGAGGAGGAGGGGAGGAGGAGGAGGAGGAGGAGGAGGAGGAGGAGGAGGAGGAGGGAAGAGGAGGAGGAGGAGGAGGAGGGGATGGAGGGGGAGAGGTCAGGAGGTTGAGGAGGGAGGAGGAGGAGGATGGAGGAGGAGGGAGGAGGAGGAGGAGGAGGGAGGGGGAGGAGGAGGAGAGGAGTAGGAGGAGGAAGGAGGAGGAGGGAGGAAAGGAGGAGATGGAGGAGTAGGGAGGAGGAGAAGGAGGAGGAGAAGGTAGGGGAGGAGGGAGGTGAGGAGGAGGAGGAGGGAGGAGGGGGAGGGGGAGGAGGGAGGAGGAGGAGGAGGAGGAGGAGGAGGAGGAGGAGGAGGAGGAGGAGGAGGCGGAGGAGAGGAGAGGGAGGAGGAGGAGGAGGAGGGGCAGAGGGGGAGGAGGAGGAGGAGGAGGAGGAGGAGGAGGAGGAGGAGGAGGAGGAGAGGAGGAGGAGGAGGAGGAGCGTGGGAGGGGAGAGGGGGAGGAGGAGGAGGAGGAGGGAGGAAGGAGAGGAGGAGGAGGAGGAGAGGAGGAGAGAGGAGGAGGAGGAGGAGGAGGAGGAGGAGGAGGAGGAGGAAGGAGGGGGAGGGGGAGGAGGGGGCGAGGGAGGAGGAGGAGGAGGGGAGGAGGAGGAGGAGGGAGGAGGAGGAGGAGGAGGAGGAGGAGGAGGAGGTCTTCGAAACTCGGGTTAAGTCGGGCGTGTCCTCCTAGAGGCGGGCGTTGAACGAAAAACGAGACATTGTCAAAGAATGCCCAAGGATAGCCAGAAAATGATCGAAACATCGTCTCAAGACTATGTGTTGATGGTTGTTGAATATTCCTCCTGTGCAGGGACACGCCCGACTTAACACGAGTTTCGAAGACCGATGTCCGAAGCTCGAGGGTCTATGTTGGGTGAGCATTCATGGGAGCCTCTGTGAAACTCGAAGCCCATGTCATAAACGCGTTTTCGATCAGAGTTCGCTCAGAGGTCGACCATCCATTCCAGAGTTCGGCAGACTGTCGATCAAATCCGACGAAATCCCCCAAACCGCGAGGAGTTTGGGACCCTATGAGGCTCCCATCAAGGACAAACAAACTATAACGTTATTTGATTTGCATGGGCCTCCAAAAGCCTCTGGAGGCCTGCGGGGACTTTCAGAGACCTCCCTAGACAAGACTGCGGACCTACCCTGACGTACAGGCATCCCAAATGGGGTCCGAGAAGATGGGGTCGGATGATGGTGCCGCATCACAAATTCATCGCCGATGCATCGGCGATGTACCGGCAACGTCGGCGGTACATCTGCGACGTCGGCGCGAGGAAAATCGGGTTGCGCTTCGAGCCGCATTATGCATCGGCGATGCAGCGCGATCCGTCAACCCCATCTAACTCGGACCCCATTTGGGAGCCCAGAGACGGCCGCACGGCTGCGCAGCTAAGACTGCCTGGTGTTAGGTCGGGCATGTCCTCCTGCAGGCGGGGTTTGGACAACAAACAAGAATACCCAAAAAGAGTAAGAAGCAATAGAAACATCCTCCCAAGACTATTGTGAAAACTATTTTGGATGACTCCTCCTGTAGAGCGACATGCCAGACCTGATACGAACCCCCAGACTCGGGGGCGTCCAAGCGGGGAGCATCCAAGAGGGAGGGGGCGCAAACCACGGCGGGCGGCGCGTGCGCGGCTGAGGGGGGGGGGTCTGGGGACGCAACGAAGTACGGAGAAGCGCCCTGAAATCTGGGGAGGCATCATGGCCCCTGCCATTACATGTCCCCCCCCCCCCTTGTCATCCCCCCCCCCCTCTTGGCCGCCCCCGACAAACCCGAGAACAGCCCCAAGGGCCTCGAGAGGGCCCCACGGACAACCCCCGAAAAAAGGTCCTAGAAATGAGGAGCCAGAAGTACCGACACCGCTGCCCCCCAGACCTCTCCCGGGATGCGTCCTGACCAGAATTTCGATGCAAATCCAGCGGTAGCGACGAGGGCCTCCCGGGAGACCCAAAAAGAGGAAAACGGCCCGAAGGGTAGAGGTATGGGAAATGACCTCTTCCTCCTCTGACAAAGGGGGGGGCCACGACGGCCACCACCGCCACAGCCGTGTCACCGCCGCAGGCGCCACGAGACGCAGCTCTCTCCCGTGCGCGCGGCGGGGAGTGAAAAAGCGTGGCAGCGCAGCCCCCGATAGCTCACGCAGCTCGCAGCGGGACAATGAGCATGCCGCATGATACAAGCTTCGGGCGCGCCCGACCTTAGGAGGCAACTACTGGGAGATCTTCGTCGGAAGGAAGAAGGAGAATTGAGCCCCACTGCGGGGCTGTTACGCCAGATTGGGCCCAGGATTGAGCGGGGTAAGCCGGACTAAGCAGAATTAAGCCGGATTTGTCAATAATGGGCCAGATTAAGCCGGATTTCGGACCAGGGCAAAGTCAGAATTTGACCTCCCAGGAGTTCCATCCGAACCTAACCGACCCCTAGCAAACTCGGGCCGGGCGAAAAGGGAGGATAGCAAAGGGGGGGGTGAGAATCAACTCACGTAATTAGCTGATTTCCCCGGCGCCTCCCGGCGCCGGGAGGTCCCCATGTATCTAGGAATGGGCCCGACGGCGGGGCCGAAACCAGCTGCATGCAGCAGATTTCGCACCCCCCCCTTTTCCCTGTCCCCCCTCTCGTTCGGCCCGACAAACCGTCCCCTTCCGTGACGACGTTCTTGCCCTTCGAGCTCCCCTCCGGCCGCACACGCACGCCTTGGGGCGAGGCGAGGGGGACGCCACGGCAGGGGATGGCTTGCTGGGGGTCGGCCAGGCCCCCCTGGAAACTGCGAGCCTCCCTTCGGGGGCCCCCTGTGCTGACTCCACAGGGCGTCCTAACTCTACGGGCGCGTGCGCGCACCTCGACCGTCCTGACGGGGACGCGCCACGAGCGAGGCCGCGCGCGAGGCCAGAGGCGCGCGTGTCCACTGGCCGATGGCCTCGCGGGCCCCCTTCGGGGGCGGGGCGGGTGGACCGGCGCCCTGTCACAGCGCCGTGGGATTCAAAACTCGGTCTCGAGGTCCTCCCCTACGGCAGGTTCGTGTCGTGACGACCGCGGCGTTGGCTTCTGACACCACGGGGATCGTTCAACCTTGAACGATCGGCCGTTTCCGAAACGTCAGCTCGGTCAACATCGACCGATTCTGGGTTGCAGGCGACGTTCAAAGGTGAACGTCAGCGGCGGCGTCGCCGCCGGTCGACACGACGCGAACCTACCGTACAAACGGCAGCTGACAGCTGGATGCAAACATTCGGCGTTCCCGCTGTGGAGGGGAAGAAAACGATGACCATGACCAAGCCTGGACGCGGAAACGTGGGTGCCAATCTTGGTCACCGTCCGTCTTGGCCATCATCCGTTCGCGGATCATCCTCGCGACATCTTGGTCATGGACCATGACCAAGATCGGCGTCGACAAGATGGCGCGACATCTTGGTCATGGTCTGGGGGAACCGACAAGTACCAATACTGCTACTCCCTGAATCTCTCCCAGGGTGCGTTCGAACACGAATCTCGAGGCGAATCCAACCATGGCGACGAAGGCCCCCCCGGGTCGCCCAAAAAAGCGAAAACGAAACAAGGGTACCGGTAGCGGCATCAGTTCCCCCTCCGATGTGCATCGAGGTTCTTCCCTCCACGCTTGCGGTCGTCTGTGAAAACTCGGTGAAAACAGGGGCCCGCGCGCAAGCGCGCGGGCAGCAGGGGCGCCCGCGGTCGTGCCGCGGCAGCCTGGAGGTCTAGGCCACCTCCGGGCTGCCGGGCCGCTGCGTGGAGGCGTGGGAGACCTCGTCCTGGTGTCCGCCCTTGCGCTGCGGCGGCGAGACACCGCCCGCCGAGTCGGCGCGCCCCCGGGCGGTCCCTCCGAGTCGCCGGGGCGCGCGCCCCTCCGTCACCAGGGCCGCGGCGCGGTCGTCCTGGGAGAGGAGGGCCCTGCCTCCCTCGTCCTCGTCCTCGTCCTCGTCCTCCTCCTCGTCCTCGTCCTCCTCCTCCTGCTCCTCCTCCTCCTCCTCTTCCGCCATTCCTTTTCCTTGTGCATAACTTCTCCCCGTCGCACCCCGAGGCCAATTTTTGGGGCGGGCCGGGCGTTTCGCCTGAGACTTCCTGAGCACTTATGACTCTGAAGCTAGAAATTGGCAACAGTTTCACAGATGGAGGGCGGGTGGTTTTCAAAATGCGGCTCTCGCCTTAGCGCCGCGCACATTATTGTTAAAACTTTCGAAATGTGGCTCTCGCCGTAGCGCCGCGCACATTCTTTTTCAAAAAAATGCATGACCTCGCGGATGGAAGGCGGTTCCTTTTCAAAATGTAGCTCTCGCCGTAAGGCCGCGCACATTCGTTTTGAAAAATTGCAAGAGTTTCACGGATGGAGGGCGGCTCCTTTTCACAATGCGGCTCTCGCCTTAGCACCGCGCACATTCTTTTCTCAAAAATTGCAAGAATTTCACGGATGGAGGGCGGTTCCTCTTCAACTTGTGGCTATCGCCTTAGCGCCACACATATTCGTTGAACAAAATTGCCAGAGCTTCCCGGATTCCCACGACCAACGTACTAGAAATGGCGTTTGGGAAGAATTCCGGATTTTGCGGGTGCAACAGCTACGTTGACTCGCGGTTTTGAAATCCCATGAGCGGCGTTCTGGCACGATCCTAGATCGTCAAAACGCAACAATCACGTTGATCCGTGGCGTTGGAGTCCGAAGAACAATGCTTTGGCATGCTTCTGAGACTTCAAACGGTTGTCTTCCAACGGGGCAGATCCCCCAATGGAAATGAACCGTTGAGGGGCCTACGAAGAGGAAGCTTGGAGGGAGGGTGTATTCCAACATCGTTGATGGCTCTTGGGTTTACATTGGTCCTCCTCCTCCTCCTCATCCTCCTCCTCCTCCTACTCCACATCATCCACCTCTTCCTCCTCCTCCCCCTCCTCCCGGGCACACGCTCACATGTATTAGTGATCCGTGGATCTTGCGCGTGGGCGCCAGATCCACGGATCGGGCGACGTAAACCCCCGAAACATCGCGACAGTGGGGCCGCCCGATTGGCGACAGCGCGCCGATGTGGTATGGAAACGGGGCACGTCGCTATCCACGCTCCAGAATCCATGTTTGCGTCTTCTCGACCCCGTCCTCCTCCATCCCCCTCCTCCATCCTCCCCCTGCCGATCCACTCTCCTCCTCCCCCTTCTCCCCCCCCCTCTGTTCCTACCTCCTCCTTCCTCCTCTCCTCCTCCCCTCCCCCTCCTCCTAGCCCTCCTCCTCTCCTCCTCCTCCTTCCCCCTCCCCCGCTCTCTCCTTCTCCTCCTCCTCCTCGTCCTCCTCCCCCTCCTCCTAGCCTCCTCCTCCCCTCCTCCTCCTCCTCCTCCTCCGTCCTCCCTCCTCCACCCCCCCCCGTCCTCCACAATTACACAACATGAATACCACTCTCCTCTCTCCCCTGGTGGCGTACGGGAAATGTTCGGCCCCCCTCCGCGTACTGGGTTTTTACACGCAGGATTCCCAGGAAATGGGTCTTCGCTGAGGTTATCTGTCAAAATGCTGCTCTCGTTGAAACGCTGGCCTCATGTTCGGGCTACCGCTCGTTCCGAATCGTGTTTCCGCTGCAGCGCTGGCCTCATTTCCGCGCTTCCGCTCGTTCCGAATTGTGCTCCCGCTGCAGCGCTCGCGTCATTATTTCCAGCGCCATACCACGGCATGGTTCTCGGTCCTTCCAAAGAGGCCCCAAAATCTAGAAAATGCCCCGCCGAAGAAACCATCGGAGGTGATTACACATTCGGTGTCGATTCGTTGTATTTTTGGGCCGCACCCCCCACTTTGGGGCGTCGCCACGCCATGCTATGTCATGCTACGCGTTGATCTTCAACACCTTTCCATGCCATGTAATGTCATGCCATGCTACGACATCGGATTGCGCGAATAAAGAGGACACCTGCGCCATGGTAAGGGATGGGAGGGAGGGGTAGGACGTCAGATATGTCGCGAACGCACCTGGCTTGTCCTTCTCCCCCTCCCCCTCCTCCACCCTCCCCCTCCGGCCGCATCGTGGGAGCGGGGGCGCGAGGACGCAGGGCCCCTGGACCAGGACCGGGCCAATGCTGACAACAGTGCGGCGCCTGCGGCCCCGGAGCACAGGGCCGCACGGACAACGGTGCGAGCGCAGCCTCGAGGAAGCACTGGAGCACACTTCTCATTGTTCTGATTACCCGTGGCCAGCCCCGCCATTAACGTTCCAGTCCCCCCTG